GCGAGAAGCCGTGGAGCGCGGTGGCCCTCCTTCTTCTCCCGACTCTCTGACAATGTCAAACGAGTCGAACGTCTTCCGAGGAGTTGGAGGAAAAATGGCTGCGAACCGGGCTGCTGAATTTATGGGCGCTGCAGCGGAACGCGTAACGCGGGGAGATTGCAATTTTTCACCGTCAACCTTTCCCTCGTTTCCGCGATTCGACCTCCTCCCTCCTCCCTCCCCTCCCCGCGATGAAAATATATATCGACGTTGCGAAAGTTCGTCGGTGGAAGCGGCGTGGAATTCGCGACGAGCGGAGGGGGAAACGCGTTATTAACGAATCAATCGAAAGGAAAATGGAAGGAAGGTGGGAAGGAAGAAGGGATGTTTTTCTCGAGAATGGAGCCGAGTCGAAGGGAGGGGAGGATCAGGATCGGCCTTTCAAATCCCGAGGAGGATAGGAAGGGGAGGAGGAGCGGAAGAAAGGAACGAGAGAGAGTCGTCTTACCATGGGGTCGTGGGGTAGGTGCATGGGGTAGGCTGGTTGGGCCAGGTGTGGGGGTGCGTATCCGCTGTACGGGGGCTGGACGCCGCCGCTGCCCCCCGTCCATGGATCACCAGGACCCGTACCCGCGGCGTTCCCATCTGAAACAAGAAAGAAGACATTCGATTTAAATCGAATACCATTTATATCCCAGTTCGTATATACCTCTCCGTAACCGCGCCTCTCGTTCGACGCAATTCGACGCAACAAATAGCGGCACGTGGCGCGTACTGGTGTCGTCGCGCATGTGTACACGGATATAAAACGAACGCTTTTCACGAACGCGTATCGAGAGAGAGAGAGAGAGCGAACCGAAAACACGTTGGAACGAAATTTCCAAGTTTGATACCCGCACAAAGGGTAAAGGGTAGGTGTATCCCGGCTTGGATATTCGGTATAAAGGGGCAATACGCGGCCCATTATTTCAGTTGAAAACAACAGCAATAAGGTTGAGAGGGGGAGGGGAAGGGAACGTATTTCTTGATACTTTTGCTCGATATAATTCCGTGGCCGAGGAGTTTCCACCGCGACCGAGGAGGGAACTGAAACTAAGCCAAACTACTCGTCCGTTCCTACTACCAACTACCTAGGCATTCGATGTCTGATAAAACTTTTTCCCCGTTCGCCACCCATTCCATCTCCTCCCTCCTCCCCATTTATAAGGTATTCCGCTCGCTTACCGGGTGTCACGAGCCGAGAACGTATTCGAGAAGCCGGCCAACGAGCCAACCCTCCTTACCCTCTGATCTTTAATAACAACTTTACCCGGAAACTTTACCGATCTTATTGATTTACCGCCTCGGTAATCCATCCGAGAAACTTCCATCTCTCTCTCTCTCTCTCTCTCTTCGTTTCTCCCCTTCGAAAATTTCCACCCCAAAGATATCCAACCGCGAAATTATTTAACCGATTCAAAAAGCGATTCGTTACGAATCGATGATCGTAAAAATATCTGCTTCCGTGATAAATTCTTCGTTTCGAAAACGAATTTCAATTGATCGACGAACTCGATCGCTAGGCATTAAAGAGAGAGAGAGAGAGAGTTTGGCGTGGAATATAATGCCACGTAAATTACGTTAGGTATGAAAATAGAAACGGTCGGGAATATAAAGTTTACCCGTTCGGGTTGCACGATCGGGGAGGAAACGCGCGTGGATGCGGTTTCCTCCCCCTTCCCTCCCCGCCCGATCTTTCCCATCTTTTCCCGCGAAATTTCAACGCGCAACTTGGGACGCGCCGTCGTTCCGGCAAATAACGAAAGAGAGTGTGCGTGTATACGTGTGTGTGAGAAAGAGAGAGAGAGGGAGAGATTGTTATTGTTTTTACGCGCGACAGGGGCAGAACGGCGAATTTTACGAGCGAGCGTTAAACAGTTGAATATTACTGCGATCGTAAACTCCCTTTTATCGTTCGTTCGAAATCGTTACGTACGCGATCTCCACCAGATATAGATGCGTGCACAGGGGATCTACGCGCGGGAACGCACGACGCGAAAGCCACGATCGAAGAACTGGATCGGTGCCCACGTTCGGTGCGACGGGTCAGATCGATCGGTTCGGCCAACGGAACTTGCCTCCTTGCCGTTTACTTTTAGCGATGGTCGGGTTTCAATCCAAGTTCAACGGAGGCGGCCTACATTTCCGACCTCGCGACTGCGATACAAAAACCGTAACAACGGCGATGCGAGGGGCGCGGAACGATTTTTCCTTTCCCCCTTTTCTCTCTTTCTCTCTCTCTCTCTCTCTTTCTTTCTCTCATTCGCTCGCTATTATTATTATATATCCATTTCCCCCGTGCGTAGTCGCGATTCCCGACGCAATAGTTACGTCGTTATTAAGTCTCCTACTATGAAATGCAAATTGCATTTTGCACGTATGGAAACGAGACTTACCGATATAGTAGGGATCTGCGTAGAGGGCCGCAGCTTTGGGAGAGGTGTATCTCGGCGAGTCCTGTCCGAATTCATCCGAGCCGTACTGCAACAAAAAGAACAAAGAGATTTACGGTTAACGGTTAAATATATTAGAAGAATAGTGGGAATGCGAAGAGGAAGGAAATACGCGTCCCATAATAATAACAATTTATTACGCGATATAGAGACACCTTTTTTTCTCGAAAAAGTGCAACCAGATCATTCCTCGCATCGTCGATTAATATCAAC